GGCACTGCCACGTGCCTGCTTGGTGCAGCTTCGAGCGCGGTGCAGGTGGTGCAGGTGATGGAGGACGGGTGGCATGCCGCTTTGTCGGCCAGGCTCTTGGGCGGATTGACCAGGCGCAAGTTCCGGCGGCTGCTGCATTGAACCGTCGAAATCATCATCCATGAAATCCCCATGCAGGAACTGCACGGCTACAGAGGCGAATGAGCTGGGCCGGGGCGAGGGCAGCATCTGCGACACTGCAACATCGAAGAGCAGCGCCAGCACCACAACAACATCGCAAGAAATGGCACGAGTGCATGGCCCTCGACTGATGCTTGGGCCAATCGCAGGTGGACCAGCTGGGCCTGGCAACTAGCTCACATGCCAGGGAGTTCAGGTCGGCGTGCCACGCTGCGAAGAGCAGCGCGCTGCGAAGAGCAGCGCCACAAGAAAATAATGGCTCCTCGGGACTTGTGCCGTTCGTCATACTTGGCATGTGTATGATTCGTGCATTAGTGGCGTATCTACAAACTCATGGAACAAGTTGTCAGTCAGATTGAAGTGGACGCGCACCCAAGAACGCACGTTCTTTCTGCAGCTTCATGCTTGGCGTGATGCAGGACGGGTCTGCTTCAGATGGCATGCCGCTCTCTCGACAAGGCTCTTGCGGTTCCTGGCCAATGGGCACATTGACTAGTCGCAAGTTCCGGCGGCAGGTTGGCAGCTTCTTGGGAGAAGTGTGCACAAGCCTCGGCACGACGGTGCTCCGGCCTTCAGGGGCAAGCTCCATGGCTACAGACTTACAGCAAGCGCAGGCATGAAACACGACTCCTGGTCCGACTGGGGTGACTGGAGTGAAAGTCTCAGGCAGTGGAGAGTCCAGCAGCATGGAGCGAGGCGAGTGTAGTGGGTCTGTTGGGGTGCCCAAAGTTGCAAGGCATGCAGGGCACCCGAAGAAATTGGGGCCTTGGCTTTCTGCAGAGATTCCTGGCGCTCAAAGTGGCAGGTGGCATGTGGGCATGAGAGAAAGCTCGCGGCTGCGCGTCTGTGATCGGAAGGTCTCAAGTGGCTGCAAGGAGCTCTATCGGGCCGGTCTCGGACCGACGCGGGCCTGGTGCAGACATAGGACGGGTCTGCTTCAGAGCAAGTTCCAGTGCCAGCTGCTGCAGTGAACCGTCGGTGCCAGTATCCGTGCAACAACTGTACGGCTACTGAGGCGAATGAGCTGGGCGGGGGAGAGAGCAGCATCTAAGACACCGCGACATCGATCATCATCCGCAGCACCGTAGGGACATCTCAGGCAGTTGCGCGAGCAAATCAATCTCAAGTGCCTCAAAGGCCTCAAGTGATGTTGGTCCCGACCACAGGTGGACCTGCTGCAAGTGCTGCGAGGGCCTCGGGCAACTGGCTCACATGCCAGGGTGTTCAGGCGGGAGCGCCAGGCCGTGAAGAGCAGCGGCACAGGCACAAGATGCAGAATACTGGCTCTACGGGACTTGTGCCGTTTGTCGTGCTTGGCGTTTGCAATCGTTCGTATGACTCGTCCATTATTGGCGTATCTACAAAGTCATGGAACAAGCTGTCAGTCAGATTGAAATGGACGCGCACCCAAGAACGCACGTTCTTTCTGCAGCTTCATGCTTGGCGTGATGCAGGACGGGTCTGCTTCAGATGGCACGCCGCTCTCTCGACAAGGCTCTTGCGGTTCCTGGCCAATGGGCACATTGACTAGTCGCAAGTTCCGGCGGCAGGTTCGTTCAGGAGACAAGCGCTCCCATAGCACCGGTGCATTGGCAGCAGCTTCTTGGGAGAAGTGTGCACAAGCCTCGGCACGACGGTGCTCCGGCCTTCAGGGGCAAGCTCCATGGCTACAGACTTACAGAAAGCGCAGGCATGAAACACGACTCCTGGTTCGACTGGGGTGACTGGAGTGAAAGTCTCAGGCAGTGGAGAGTCCAGCAGCATGGAGCGAGGCGAGTGTAGTGGGTCTGTTGGGGTGCCCAAAGTTGCAAGGCATGCAGGGCACCCGAAGAAATTGGGGCCTTGGCTTTCTGCAGAGATTCCTGGCGCTCAAAGTGGCAGGTGGCATGTGGGCATGAGAGAAAGCTCGCGGCTGCGCGTCTGTGATCGGAAGGTCTCAAGTGGCTGCAAGGAGCTCTATCGGGCCGGTCTCGGACCGACGCGGGCCTGGTGCAGACATAGGACGGGTCTGCTTCAGAGCAAGTTCCAGTGCCAGCTGCTGCAGTGAACCGGCGGTGTCAGTACCCGTGCAACAACTGCACGGCTACTGAGGCGAATGAGCTGGGCGGGGGAGAGAGCAGCATCTAAGACACCGCGACATCGATCATCATCCGCAGCACCGTAGGGACATCTCAGGCAGTTGCGCGAGCAAATCAATCTCAAGTGCCTCAAAGGCCTCAAGTGATGTTGGTCCCGACCACAGGTGGACCTGCTGCAAGTGCTGCGAGGGCCTCGGGCAACTGGCTCACATGCCAGGGTGTTCAGGCGGGAGCGCCAGGCCGTGAAGAGCAGCGGCACAGGCACAAGATGCAGAATACTGGCTCTACGGGACTTGTGCCGTTTGTCGTGCTTGGCGTTTGCAATCGTTCGTATGACTCGTCCATTATTGGCGTCTCTACAAAGTCATGGAACAAGCTGTCAGTCAGATTGAAATGGACGCGCACCCAAGAACGCACGTTCTTTCTGCAGCTTCATGCTTGGCGTGATGCAGGACGGGTCTGCTTCAGATGGCACGCCGCTCTCTCGACAAGGCTCTTGCGGTTCCTGGCCAATGGGCACATTGACTAGTCGCAAGTTCCGGCGGCAGGTTCGTTCAGGAGACAAGCGCTCCCATAGCACCGGTGCATTGGCAGCAGCTTCTTGGGAGAAGTGTGCACAAGCCTCGGCACGACGGTGCTCCGGCCTTCAGGGGCAAGCTCCATGGCTACAGACTTACAGAAGCGCAGGCATGAAACACGACTCCTGGTTCGACTGGGGTGACTGGAGTGAAAGTCTCAGGCAGTGGAGAGTCCAGCAGCATGGAGCGAGGCGAGTGTAGTGGGTCTGTTGGGGTGCCCAAAGTTGCAAGGCATGCAGGGCACCCGAAGAAATTGGGGCCTTGGCTTTCTGCAGAGATTCCTGGCGCTCAAAGTGGCATGCGGCATGTGGGCATGCGAGAAAGCTCGCGGCTGAGCGTCTGTGATCGGAAGGTCTCAAGTGGCTGCAAGGATCTCTATCGGGCCGGTCTCGGACCGACGCGGGCCTGGTGCAGACAAAGGACGGGTCTGCTTCAGAGCAAGTTCCAGTGCCAGCTGCTGCAGTGAACCGGCGGTGTCAGTACCCGTGCAACAACTGCACGGCTACTGAGGCGAATGAGCGGGGCGGGGGAGAGAGCAGCATCTACGACACCGCGACATCGAGGATCATCCGCAGCTCCGTAGGGACATCTCAGGCAGCTGCGCGAGCAACTCAGTGCCTCAAAGGCCTCAAGAGATGCTTGTCCCGCCCGCAGGTGGACCTGCTGCAACTGCGAGGGACTCAGGCAATTGGCTCACACAGAATAGTTGCACAGCACCTTCGCAGAAGCAATGTAATTGCACAGGACCAGCGGCACTGGGCTCAATGCAGCCAGCCGAGGCCGCAAGAGCAGGCCTGAGGGCAGATCACGCCGGCCGCAAACTCACAGACGCCGAAGGCCTTGGGCGGCAACCTGCTATAGTGCGCCATGCCTAGGGGCCAGACCATGTGCCTGCTCAGCTGGATTCATTGACTTGCGCCCCACACTGAGCGTGCCGCATCACATGCCTCACAACACATAAGCCAATCGACACGCTGTCGGTGCTGGGATGAGCTTCTCATCTGACTCGCAGGCTTGCTCGAGAGCAGCGGCACTGGGCTCAGTGCAGCCAGCCGAGGCCGCAAGCGCAGGCCTGAGGGCAGATCACAGCGGCCGCGCAGCCAGAGATGCTGCGGGCCTTGTGCGGCAACGTGCTATAGCATGCCATGCCTAGGAGGGCCCAGATGGGCGGCGGGCCAGAACATGTCCCTGGCCACCCGGCGTCGTGGCTGGAAACACGGAGCCACCGCCATCAACAGGGCCGCGGCTTCTCGAGTGGCGCATGCACAGGAGGATGAGCAGGAGATGCGAGGAGAGAAAGTGAGTCCAACAGCATCTCTGGGCTGCGCCCTTGTTTTAGGGACCGTGCAGAGGGCGGATCCCTCCGAGTGTGACTATGCTGAAGAGTGACCAGTTGCCCTGTGTCGGCCGCTCTGCCTCCACTCGGATTGTAAATCGGCTTGACACGCAGCTGCATTCTCTCAGACTCGGCGAGCAGGGCGGAGAATTCTGCAAAGCACGGCGCAGGCCATGCACTTCCAACACGACGGTGCCTAGCGCTCACACTGCAGCCTTGCAATGGCCAAGCAGAGGAACTCGGCGTCCGCGAAGGCCTGGAGCCTACCAGGGTCAGCCGTAGAGGCGTCAGGCACAAGATGGGAGAGGTGTTGTCGCTGTACGATGCGGCCGAGGTGATCGGGGTGCTCTCAGAGCCTTCGTCATCCAGGGGGCTTTTGCCGAGAAGGCCGACCACACCGGTGAAAAGGCACGGGGCTTCAGCATGCCGTTGCGAGGTCCAAGTGGGGCCACCCATCAGTCCTTGCCAGAAAAGCACAACGAGGACGTAACAGCCTCGGCAAGGGACTTCGTGTGTCGACTGGGTGGAGCCTGTGTGAAGACCGCATTTGGCAAGCCGGCACATTCGAGCCAGCTGATGGCAGAGGACACGCATCCCTGTCGAGGCTTCGCAGCTCAGGAAATTGTGGCAAGCAGACGAGCACTCTCAGCTCCTCTGGCGTGGGAGGAACGAAGCTGAGATAGGAATGCTGTGGAGATCAGCAGGCAAAGGCGACGGACAATTGGGTCGAAGCCTGGCTTCATCACAAGAAGTTCAGCTCGGCTGGCCACAGGGGCACGGGGCACTGCCAGAACGGCTCTCGGGCGTAGGACGACTCTGGACGCAGTGATGGGCATTGGGCACACCCCTTGCCGAGCCTTCAGCAGAGCTGCCGCACCCAACGATTGCTTGGCATCACACATCGATCAAGAGCTCCGACACAGAGACGCTGCATGCACCGCACGAGGCAGTTGGTACTTTCAGGTGCAGGTGCTGCGACGTGGTCGGCTTCCGGATCAACTGCTGCAGGTTGCCATGCGCAGCCGTAGTCTGCTGATTCTGCAGGAGATGGCAATAGGGGGCAAGGGGACAGGGTCCTGCAAAACCACTCGGCACATGTGTGCAGCAGAAGAGACCTACCGGTGCGGCATCACAGATGGAAGCAAGACCTCAGTTTGCAGCCCCCTGTGGCGCAGCCATGCGACACGTGCCAAGTCCCAGGCCCAAGCTTGACGTACCTCACCCCCATCCGCTGGATTCATTGACTTTGCGCCCCACATTGAGCGTGCCGCATCACATGCCTCACAACACATAAGCCAATCGACGCGCTGTCGGTGCTTGGATGAGCTTTTCATAGCAGCGGCACTGGGCTCAATGCAGCCAGCCGAGGCCGCGAGAGCAGGCCTGAGGGCAGATCACGCCGGCCGCAAACTCACAGACGCCGAAGGCCTTGGGCGGCAACGTGCTATAGTGCGCCATGCCTAGGGGCCAGACCATGTGCCTGCTCAGCTGGATTCATTGACTTGCGCCCCACACTGAGCGTGCCGCATCACATGCCTCACAACACATAAGCCAATCGACACGCTGTCGGTGCTGGGATGAGCTTCTCATCTGACTCGCAGGCTTGCTCGAGAGCAGCGGCACTGGGCTCAGTGCAGCCAGCCGAGGCCGCAAGCGCAGGCCTGAGGGCAGATCACAGCGGCCGCGCAGCCAGAGATGCTGCGGGCCTTGTGCGGCAACGTGCTATAGCATGCCATGCCTAGGAGGGCCCAGATGGGCGGCGGGCCAGAACATGTCCCTGGCCACCCGGCGTCGTGGCTGGAAACACGGAGCCACCGCCATCAACAGGGCCGCGGCTTCTCGAGTGGCGCATGCACAGGAGGATGAGCAGGAGATGCGAGGAGAGAAAGTGAGTCCAACAGCATCTCTGGGCTGCGCCCTTGTTTTAGGGACCGTGCAGAGGGCGGATCCCTCCGAGTGTGACTATGCTGAAGAGTGACCAGTTGCCCTGTGTCGGCCGCTCTGCCTCCACTCGGATTGTAAATCGGCTTGACACGCAGCTGCATTCTCTCAGACTCGGCGAGCAGGGCGGAGAACTCTGCAAAGCACGGCGCAGGCCATGCACTTCCAACACGACGGTACCCAGCGCTCACGCTGCAGCCTTGCAATGTCCAAGCAGAGGAACTCGGCGTCCGCGCGAAGGCCTGGAGCCTACCAGGGTCAGCCGTAGAGGCGTCAGGCACAACATGGGAGAGGTGTTCTCGCTGTACGATGCGGCCGAGGTGATCGGGGTGCTCTCAGAGCCTTCATCATCCAGGGGGCTTTTGCCGAGAAGGCCGACCACACCGGTGAAAAGGCACGCGGCTTCAGCATGCCGTTGCGAGGTCCAAGTGGGGCCACCCATCAGTCCTTGCCAGAAAAGCACAACGAGGACGTAACAGCCACGGCAAGGGACTTCGTGTGTCGACTGGGTGGAGCCTGTGTGAAGACCGCATTTGGTAAGCCGGCACATTCGAGCCAGCTGATGGCAGAGGACACGCATCCCTGTCAAGGCTTCGCAGCTCAGGAAATTGTGGCAAGCAGACGAGCACTCTCAGCTCCTCTGGCGTGGGAGGAACGAAGCTGAGATAGGAATGCTGTGGAGATCAGCAGGCAAAGGCGACGGACAATTGGGTCGAAGCCTGGCTTCATCACAAGAAGTTCAGCTCGGCTGGCCACAGGGGCACGGGGCACTGCCAGAACGGCTCTCGGGCGTAGGACGACTCTGGACGCAGTGATGGGCATTGGGCACACCCCTTGCCGAGCCTTCAGCAGAGCTGCCGCACCCAACGATTGCTTGGCATCACACATCGATCAAGAGCTCCGACACAGAGACGCTGCATGCACCGCACGAGGCAGTTGGTACTTTCAGGTGCAGGTGCTGCGACGTGGTCGGCTTCCGGATCAACTGCTGCAGGTTGCCATGCGCAGCCGTAGTCTGCTGATTCTGCAGGAGATGGCAATAGGGGGCAAGGGGACAGGGTCCTGCAAAACCACTCGGCACATGTGTGCAGCAGAAGAGACCTACCGGTGCGGCATCACAGATGGAAGCAAGACCTCAGTTTGCAGCCCCCTGTGGCGCAGCCATGCGACACGTGCCAAGTCCCAGGCCCAAGCTTGACGTACCTCACCCCCATCCGCTGGATTCATTGACTTTGCGCCCCACATTGAGCGTGCCGCATCACATGCCTCACAACACATAAGCCAATCGACGCGCTGTCGGTGCTTGGATGAGCTTTTCATAGCAGCGGCACTGGGCTCAATGCAGCCAGCCGAGGCCGCGAGAGCAGGCCTGAGGGCAGATCACGCCGGCCGCAAACTCACAGACGCCGAAGGCCTTGGGCGGCAACGTGCTATAGTGCGCCATGCCTAGGGGCCAGACCATGTGCCTGCTCAGCTGGATTCATTGACTTGCGCCCCACACTGAGCGTGCCGCATCACATGCCTCACAACACATAAGCCAATCGACACGCTGTCGGTGCTGGGATGAGCTTCTCATCTGACTCGCAGGCTTGCTCGAGAGCAGCGGCACTGGGCTCAGTGCAGCCAGCCGAGGCCGCAAGCGCAGGCCTGAGGGCAGATCACAGCGGCCGCGCAGCCAGAGATGCTGCGGGCCTTGTGCGGCAACGTGCTATAGCATGCCATGCCTAGGAGGGCCCAGATGGGCGGCGGGCCAGAACATGTCCCTGGCCACCCGGCGTCGTGGCTGGAAACACGGAGCCACCGCCATCAACAGGGCCGCGGCTTCTCGAGTGGCGCATGCACAGGAGGATGAGCAGGAGATGCGAGGAGAGAAAGTGAGTCCAACAGCATCTCTGGGCTGCGCCCTTGTTTTAGGGACCGTGCAGAGGGCGGATCCCTCCGAGTGTGACTATGCTGAAGAGTGACCAGTTGCCCTGTGTCGGCCGCTCTGCCTCCACTCGGATTGTAAATCGGCTTGACACGCAGCTGCATTCTCTCAGACTCGGCGAGCAGGGCGGAGAACTCTGCAAAGCACGGCGCAGGCCATGCACTTCCAACACGACGGTACCCAGCGCTCACGCTGCAGCCTTGCAATGGCCAAGCAGAGGAACTCGGCGTCCGCGCGAAGGCCTGGAGCCTACCAGGGTCAGCCGTAGAGGCGTCAGGCACAACATGGGAGAGGTGTTCTCGCTGTACGATGCGGCCGAGGTGATCGGGGTGCTCTCAGAGCCTTCATCATCCAGGGGGCTTTTGCCGAGAAGGCCGACCACACCGGTGAAAAGGCACGCGGCTTCAGCATGCCGTTGCGAGGTCCAAGTGGGGCCACCCATCAGTCCTTGCCAGAAAAGCACAACGAGGACGTAACAGCCACGGCAAGGGACTTCGTGTGTCGACTGGGTGGAGCCTGTGTGAAGACCGCATTTGGCAAGCCGGCACATTCGAGCCAGCTGATGGCAGAGGACACGCATCCCTGTCGAGGCTTCGCAGCTCAGGAAATTGTGGCAAGCAGACGAGCACTCTCAGCTCCTCTGGCGTGGGAGGAACGAAGCTGAGATAGGAATGCTGTGGAGATCAGCAGGCAAAGGCGACGGACAATTGGGTCGAAGCCTGGCTTCATCACAAGAAGTTCAGCTCGGCTGGCCACAGGGGCACGGGGCACTGCCAGAACGGCTCTCGGGCGTAGGACGACTCTGGACGCAGTGATGGGCATTGGGCACACCCCTTGCCGAGCCTTCAGCAGAGCTGCCGCACCCAACGATTGCTTGGCATCACACATCGATCAAGAGCTCCGACACAGAGACGCTGCATGCACCGCACGAGGCAGTTGGTACTTTCAGGTGCAGGTGCTGCGACGTGGTCGGCTTCCGGATCAACTGCTGCAGGTTGCCATGCGCAGCCGTAGTCTGCTGATTCTGATGGAGATGGCAATAGGGGGCAAGGGGACAGGGTCCTGCAAAACCACTCGGCAAATTGGGGCAGGAGCGGAAAGCTCCCGGTGCAGCCAAAGTCACAAACGGAAGCAAGACCTCAGCTTGCAGCCCCCTGCGGAGCATCAAGGCGACACATGCCAAATCCCAGGTTCCAGCTTGACGTACCCCACCCCAGTCTTGCAACGCAACAGACATACACATTGAGGCGCACCTGGGAACACCCGTGTTTCCTCCAGCTTCACGCGCAATCGGAGTGATGGAGGACGGGGCTGCTGCAGATGGCATCCCGCTCAGTCGACTGGCGCCTTTGGTGAACCTGCCCCGGCTCTGGCGACAGCAGCTGAATTGAATGGACCGGAAAAGAACACTCATATGATCTCTACGTCTGCATGCGAGTTGCTATACGTGGTTGCAGTCTGCGCGGGATGGCAATAGGGGCAAGCGGACAGGGTCCTGCAAAACCACTCGGCACATGTGTGCAGCAGAAGAGACCTACCGGTGCGGCATCACAGACGGAAACAAGACCTCAGTTTGCAGGCCCCTGTGGCACAGCCATGCGACACGTGCCAAGTCCCAGGTCCAAGCTTGACGTACCTCACCCCCATCAGCTGGATTCACTGACTTTGCGCCCCACACTGAGCGTGCCGTGTCACATGCCTCACAACACATAAGCCAATCGACACGCTGTCGGTGCTTGGATGAGCTTTTCATCTGACTCGCAGGCTTGCTCGAGAGCAGCGGCACCGGGCTCAATGCAGCCAGCCGAGGCCGCAAGCGCAAGCCTGAGGGCAGATCACAGCGGCCGCGCACCCAGAGATGCTGAGGGCCTTGGGCGGCAACGTGCTATTGTACGCCATGCCGAGGAGGGGCCAGAACATGTCTCTGCCCACCCGGCGTCGTGGCTGGAGCATGAGCAGGAGATGCGAGGACCAGAGAAAGTGAGTCCAGCAGCATCTCTGGGCTGCGGCCTTGTTTGAGGGCCCGTGCCGAGGGCGGCTCCCTCCGACGGTGCCCAGCGCTCACGCTGCAGCCTTGCAATGGCCAAGCAGAGGAACTCGGCGTCCGCGAAGGCCTGGAGCCTACCAGGGTCAGCCGTAAAGGCGTCAGGCACAAGATGGGAGAGGTGTTGTCGCTGTACGATGCGGCCGAGGTGATCGGGGTGCTCTCAGAGCCTTCATCATCCAGGGGGCTTTTGCCGAGAAGGCCGACCACCCCGGTGAAAAGGCACGCGGCTTCAGCATGCCGTTGCGAGGTCCAAGTGGGGCCACCCATCAGTCCTTGCCAGAAAAGCACAACGAGGACGTAACAGCCACGGCAAGGGACTTCGTGTGTCGACTGGGTGGAGCCTGTGTGAAGACCGCATTTGGCAAGCCGGCACATTCGAGCCAGCTGATGGCAGAGGACACGCATCCCTGTCAAGGCTTCGCAGCTCAGGAAATTGTGGCAAGCAGACGAGCACTCTCAGCTCCTCTGGCGTGGGAGGAACGAAGCTGAGATAGGAATGCTGTGGAGATCAGCAGGCAAAGGCGACGGACAATTGGGTCGAAGCCTGGCTTCATCACAAGAAGTTCAGCTCGGCTGGCCACAGGGGCACGGGGCACTGCCAGAACGGCTCTCGGGCGTAGGACGACTCTGGACGCAGTGATGGGCATTGGGCACACCCCTTGCCGAGCCTTCAGCAGAGCTGCCGCACCCAACGATTGCTTGGCATCACACATCGATCAAGAGCTCCGACACAGAGACGCTGCATGCACCGCATGAGGCAGTTGGTACTTTCAGGTGCAGGTGCTGCGACGTGGTCGGCTTCCGGATCAACTGCTGCAGGTTGCCATGCGCAGCCGTAGTCTGCTGATTCTGCTGGAGATGGCAATAGGGGGCAAGGGGACAGGGTCCTGCAAAACCACTCGGCAAATTGGGGCAGGAGCGGAAAGCTCCCGGTGCAGCCAAAGTCACAAACGGAAGCAAGACCTCAGCTTGCAGCCCCCTGCGGAGCATCAAGGCGACACATGCCAAATCCCAGGTTCCAGCTTGACGTACCCCACCCCAGTCTTGCAACGCAACAGACATGCACATTGAGGCGCACCTGGGAACACCCGTGTTTCCTCCAGCTTCACGCGCAATCGGAGTGATGGAGGACGGGGCTGCTGCAGATGGCATCCCGCTCAGTCGACTGGCGCCTTTGGTGAACCTGCCCCGGCTCTGGCGACAGCAGCTGAATTGAATGGACCGGAAAAGAACACTCATATGATCTCTACGTCTGCATGCGAGTTGCTATTCGTGGTTGCAGTCTGCGCGGGATGGCAATAGGGGCAAGCGGACAGGGTCCTGCAAAACCACTCGGCACATGTGTGCAGCAGAAGAGACCTACCGGTGCGGCATCACCAAGTCCCAGGTCCAAGCTTGACGTACCTCACCCCCATCAGCTGGATTCACTGACTTTGCGCCCCACACTGAGCGTGCCGTGTCACATGCCTCACAACACATAAGCCAATCGACACGCTGTCGGTGCTTGGATGAGCTTTTCATCTGACCAAAAATCTCCAAAAAGCTGATGGGCTTCATGGGTTTCGGAGCTTTTCTTGGCTGACTGCAGCTCTGGCTCCAGCCTGGACAGGGCACTTTATGGAAAACCTGTAGGCCTTGGGGTACTTAACAGTACTTACAGCATCTGCTGAAGATATACGAACACCCCCGAAGTTGCTGCACATGGTCTTGAGACATCCCCCTTGGATTAAGGGTAGGGGGGATTGGAAAATGCCGAAGGCATTTCTCGACCCCCCCATTGAGATCCAGCACAGACCCCGCACAAACGCAAATGACAGTGACAAACCATGGCTGCCGAAACTTAATTGCCAAAAGGGCAGTACCGCCGTACTGTTCCGGCAGTTATAGCCGAGGGGGGTCTTGAGACGAGCTCCCCCGAACTGGGACAACTTCAACCGACGGATAGTCTTCAAGATCGGGGTCGAGTCGGTGCGGGCTTGTCGGGTTGCTCTTCGAGGCCAGTACGAAGACGAGCGCGGCAGCGCCCAAAAATCTCCAAAACGCGGATGGGCAGCTTCATGGGTTTCGGAGCTTTTCTTGGCTGACTGCAGCTCTGGGCTCCAGCCTGCACAGGGCACTTTATGAAAAACCTGTAGCCTTGGGGTACTTAACAGTACTTGCAGCATATGCTGAAGATATACGAACACCCCCGAAGTTGCTGCACATGGTCTTGAGACGAGCTGTCCTGAACTGGGACAACTCCAAGCGACGGATAGTCTTCAAGATCGGGGTCGGGTGCGAAGTGCTGTGGGAGACAATCTACCCCAAAGCCACCTGGCAAGAAGGGGTTTCAAAGGATGTCGGCCTTTGCAATCCACAAGCTGTGAGGACCAGAGTCTTGGCATGTCTTGAAAGTTAAAAAGGACTCCGCAGTGAAGAGCACCATGAGATCCTTTGAAGATAGAAAGCGACAGAGGCAGGGAGTGCCAAGGCGAGCAAACGCCCCTGCTGTTGAAGGCGCCGCGGCTCGCGAGCAGTGGAGGCAAAACATGAAAGACCACTACAGGCCCGGAGAGCACGATACAAGCCCGGCATGCAGTGCCACCATGCGCCACCGAGAGTGGGGCCAACAGCCTACAAGCAAAACCAAGCCTGCAGTCTACAGCATCAGAGGACACCGGTCTGCAGAAGCAGGCCATGAGGAATCACACCGGCAGATGCGATGGGTAATGCGCGCTCACGGGCCAGCGACATCGGGTCATGGCAGTGCCTGTCAAGAGGCTCTTGCCGCACAATGGGCCGCGCCTCCAGCCACAGGTAAGCCCGGCGGCGTCTGTCAACGGAATGGGCAGCGCGGCAGAGCACCGCAGCCGCTTCTGTCTCCTCTACCTTTGCCTTTGCCTTGAAGAACCTGCGCACAACACTTCCTGCAGTCACGATGTTCGGATCCATCATAGCACTGCATTGCTGACTACCTCCAGCCCACCACGCAGCAACAGCCCAGCCAGCATCCCTACACGAACTTGCTCAACGAAAGTATTTGCAGCACTCGCGGTCATCCCCGAGCTACTCATACGCATTGACAACGACGCAGGTCTATGCAGACACGGCCCACTTGCGGGAGGCGAGTGTGCTTTGGGCTTTCTCTGGCTGCTTTTTGGGGTCCTCAGGGCCTTTTGGGAGTGCCATCAAGCTTCTGGCCTTGGAACACTGTGTGTCACTGTGTGTCACGACGTGCCCCAGCTAAGCGGTCCATGATTGCATGCGCCGCGAGGCTAGTTATACAGCTGCGATGCTGGCACTCAACAATCCTCAGATGAAACTTTTGGGATGTCATCTTGTCACTGTAGACTCTCCAGTTTTGGTTTTTGCGCCTTGGAGGCTTGGCGGGTCGTTTCAGGCGAGCTGAGCAAGGTTTAGCACCAATATCGGCTTGGCACAGGCAGACGGCGGATAAGCACAGTGAAATCCTTCACGAAGCCATGCCGTTTCACATGAAGGCCAACTGTATCGGCTTGGCAGGTGCAAACAGACAGCGCATGAGCGCAGCGACATCTCTCGGGATTCATGTGCCGCTTGACACTTTGCCGTCGAGTTGTGTCAGGTGTGTTGCAGGGCACCACGTCAACCGCACATTCTGGCTCTGAACCCCTCAACTGGCACCAACTCACGTGCAAGTGCCAAGGCCCGAAGGTGCCAGCTCAACCTGGAGGCTCTCAAGGCATGAATGCTTTAGGACTTTAGGCTTTTTTGGCCGCGTTTAGGGATTCTCAAGACCTTGGGCACACTGGTGCGGCGCCAAGCCCAGCTTCACGAAGTTGCGCTTCAAGAACTCAGCTGAGCCGCTTTTTCAGGAATGCTGGGGCTTAGGATGCCGTGGGCCAACCTCGGGCCCCACTTCAGCATCACCGCTCTCTTGGCATGGCTTCCGTTGTAAAAGGCTGGGTGCTGGATGAGCCGCAAAAGAATCTTAAGGCTTTCGTCTTAAGGCTTAAGGTTCAAGGTTTAAGGCTTAGTAGGGTTTTCGCCACACTCCGCCGTCGGTCAGCTTCCCTCAGCCCCGTCCACACCCCAGTTCTACGTCCTGGTTGCGTTCTTGTCAATGAAGGCATGTATGGCCGCGGACTGCCCACCCACGTGCCAACAATATGGCCCCAAGGAGGGACCAGGCATCATGAGTTTGGTATGGGCCCTTGAAGCCTTCTTGCGCGATCTGCTGCCAAGGATGTGGGAGGCAATGTCCAAAACGTCTGCGAAGTTCAGGGAGGTCTGCAACGCATTACGGGGAGAGAAGAAGTGAACAATACATTTCAGAAAGTAGGGCGGTTGCCCCGTCACATCCAGCCTGGGATGCGGTGGGATTACAGCCGCTTAGGGCAATATATAGTGGAGATGATCTTTGGGATACGGTGGGATTACAATCGGTTAGGGCAATATATAGTGGAGAGGATCTCGTTTCACGGTATTTAAGTTCTCAGTTGCTCAAGGAGGATGGAGTCCTCGGCTACGAAGGGCACGCGCCTTCACCTGCTGTGGCTTCATGCCATCAGTGGCGAGGGTTTGCATGCCCTTCGGAGCTCCACTCGGCCACGGCAGGCTCTCAGGGCGAGTGGCGTGCACCCCCATGGTCTGTCAACGCTCCCACACCAGTGTCCACCGAAATGTTCTGAAACACATGCACATCCGCAGCTCTCAGGAAGGAAAACAGCGCAAGCCGCAGAAGCAGTGGTCAGGGAAGCAAATTCGGCGAGCTCGGGCCCCTTGGGCTGCTGCCTCATGTTCACTTACAGCCAAATAGGTGGTCCGACCTGGAGTTTATCAAAATTCCATACCGCACTTGGCGGCCCATGGAGACCCCAAATTCTTCAAGCATGCTGTGCATTGCATCGGTCAGCACTTCAAGAGTGCAGCACCGTGCGGCCTTCGGCCGGGTTCGGCCGAAGCGCAGCTCAGGATGCTGCTCTGCCCGTGCTGCCCATGCTGCCCAAGCTGCTCATGCTCTTTAGGCGGTGTGATGGTGCCGCGGAATCACGCGCATTGAAGTCCGAGCCACGAGGTCACGAGGTCCTTGGCTCAAAGTACATCGCAAGGTTGAGGAATCGAGAAAACCACACATGAAACATGTCTGAAGAACGTTCGAGGGTCATGTCTGACGGCGGGGGATGCATGTTAAAGCTCACTCTGCATGTGTTTCGCGCCATCGTGCTGATGCGCTGGCCGCCCATGCCTCGGATGCACACAGCTGACACCTTCCTGCTTTCCCAACACTTTGAACATGAATCTTAAGTCCCCCTCCCCCTTTTCCCCCACCAAACAGGTGTACGGCAAAGTTTTGCCGGGCCATTCCCTTTCTGGCTGTGCGCTGTGCGCTCGGGCCCCCCCCCCCCCCCCCCCCCAAACCTAAACTCAACCCTAAACCCTGACCATTAACCTAAACCCTACCCTAAACCCTGAAACCTAAACTCTGAACCCTCAACCCGAGAACCCTAGAACCCTAGAACCCTAAACCCTAAAACCAACCCGCACCCACAGCACAGAGGGAGGGGAAGGGGGCGGGAGGGGAAGGGGGCGGGAGGGAAGGGGGTAGTTGACGGCGGGAAGCAAAGGCCCAGAGTCCGTACTGCAGCGGAGGACTTTTTTGGGTGACGGCGGGAAGTGAAGGCCCAGAGTCCGTATTGCAGCTGAGGACTTCTTTGGGTGACGGAAGCAAAGGCCCAGAGTCCGTACTGCAGCTGAAGATGTTGTTGGTTGACGGCGGGAAGCAAAGGCCCAGAGTCCGTACTGCAGCTGAGGACTTTTTTGGGTGATGGCGGGAAGCAAAGGCCCAGAGTCCGTGCTACAGCTGAAGATGCTGTTGGTTGACGGCGGGAAGCAACGGCCCAGAGTCCGTACTGCAGCTGAGGACTTCTTTGGGTGACGGCGGGAAGCAAAGGCCCAGAGTCCGTACTGCAGCTGAGGACTTTTTTGGGTGACGGCGGGAAGCAAAGGCCCAGAGTCCGTGCTACAGCTGAAGATGCTGTTGGTTGACGGCGGGAAGCAACGGCCCAAAGTCCGTACTGCAGCTGAGGACTTCTTTGCGTGACGGCGGGAAGCAAAGGCCCAGAGTCCGTACTGCAGCTGAGGACTTTTTTGGGTGACGGCGGGAAGCAAAGGCCCAGAGCCCGCGCTACAGCTGAAGATGCTGTTGGTTGACGGCGGGAAGCAAAGGCCCAGAGTCCGTACTGCAGCTGAGGACTTCTTTGGGTGACGGCGGGAAGCAAAGGCCCAGAGTCCGTGCTCAAGATGCTGTAGGTTGACGGGAAGCAAAGGCCCAGAGTCCGTACTACAGCTGAGGACTTCTTTGGGTGACGGCAGCAAAGGCCAAGAGTCCGTGCTACAGCTGAAGATGCTGTTGGTTGACGGCGGGAAGCTAAGGCCCAGAGTCCGTACTGCAGCTGAGGACTTCTTTGGGTGACGGAAGCAAAGGCCCAGAGTCCGTGCTACAGCTGAAGATGCTGTTGGTTGACGGCGGGAAGCAAAGGCCCAGAGTCCGTCCTGCAGCTGAGGAAGCAAAGGCCCAGAGTCCGTGCTACAGCTGAAGATGCTGTTGGTTGACGGCGGGAAGCAAAGGCCCAGAGTCCGTACTGCAGCTGAGGACTTCTTTGGGTGACGGAAGCAAAGGCCGAGAGTCCGTGCTACAGCTGAAGATGTTGTTGGTTGACGGCGGGAAGCAAAGGCCCAGAGTCCGTACTGCAGCTGAGGACTTCTTTGGGTGACGGAAGCAAAGGCCCAGAGTCCGTGCTACAGCTGAAGATGTTGGTGGTTGACGGCGGGCGCAGAGTCCGTACTGCAGCTGAGGACTTCTTTGGGTGACGGAAGCAAAAGCCCAGAGTCCGTGCTACAGCTGAAGATGTTGTTGGTTGACGGCGGGAAGCAAAGGCCCAGAGTCCGTATTGCAGCTGAGGACTTCTTTGGGTGACGGAAGCAAAGGCCCAGAGTCCGTACTGCAGCTGAAGATGTTGTTGGTTGACGGCGGAGAGCAAAGGCCCAGAGTCCGTACTGCAGCTGAGGACTTCTTTGGGTGACGGAAGCAAAGGCCCAGAGTCCGTGCTACAGCTGAAGATGTTGGTGGTTGACGGCGGGCCCAGAGTCCGTACTGCAGCTGAGGACTTCTTTGGGTGACGGAAGCAAAAGCCCAGAGTCCGTGCTACAGCTGAAGATGTTGTTGGTTGACGGCGGGAAGCAAAGGCCCAGAGTCCGTATTGCAGCTGAGGACTTCTTTGGGTGACGGAAGCAAAGGCCCAGAGTCCGTACTGCAGCTGAGGACTTCTTTGGGTGACGGCGGGAAGCAAAGGCCCAGAGTCCGTACTGCAGCTGAGGACTTCTTTGGGTGACGGAAGCAAAGGCCCAGAGATCCGTGCTACAGCTGAAGATTCTGTAGGTTGAGAGCGGGGAGCAAGGGATATCCATCGAGTCAAGGTTGGGGAGCAAGGGATATCCATCGAGCCAAGGCGGAGGAGCAAGGGATATCCATCGAGCCAAGGGTGGGGAGCAAGGGATATCCATCGAGTCAATGTTGGGGAGCAAGGGATATCCATCGAGTCAAGGTTGGGGAGCAAGGGATATCCATCGAGTCAAGGTTGGGGAGCAAGGGATATCCATCGAGTCAAGGTTGGGGAGCAAGATGGAGCAAGGGATATCCATCGAGTCAAGGTTGGGGAGCAAGGGATATCCATCGAGCCAAGGGTGGGGAGCAAGGGATATCCATCGAGCCAAGGCGGAGGAGCAAGGGATATCCATCGAGCCAAGGGTGGGGAGCAAGGAATATCCATCGAGTCAAGGTTGGGGAGCAAGGGATATCCATCGAGTCAAGGTTGGGGAGCAAGGGATATCCATCGAGTCAAGGTTGGGGAGCAAGGGATATCCATCGAGTCAAGGTTGGGGAGCAAGGGATATCCATCGAGTCAAGGTTGGGGAGCAAGGGATATCCATCGAGCCAAGGCGGGGGAGCAAGGGATTTCCATCGAGCCAAGGTTGGGGAGCAAGGGATATCCATCGAGTCAAGGTTGGGGAGCAAGGGATATCCATCGAGTCAAGGTTGGGGAGCAAGGGACATCCATCGAGCCAAGGGGGAGCAAGGGATTTCCATCGAGCCAAGGTTGGGGAGCAAGGGAGATCCATCGAGTCAAGGCTGGGGAGCAAGGGATATCCATCGAGTCAAGGTTGGGGAGCAAGGATATCCCTCGAGTTAAGCTTGAGCAGAAAAGAGAACCATCGGATCAGGATTGCTCAGTAGAGAAGTCCATCGGATCAAGGTCGCGCGGGAATTTGCTGCTGCAGGCTCAAGAAATCCATCAGATCAAGATTGCTCAGAAGGGGGGCCATCCATCGGATCAAGATGGCTCAGCAGGGAAATCCATCGGATCAAGGTTGCTCAGCAGGGAAACCCATCGGATCAAGATTGCTCGAGCAAAAATGAGCATCAGAACACCTTCAACTTTCTACTTAGGGTAATTGGGGATTAGGGTGTCCTTTCAATGCCGACTAGAAGATATATCTTATAGAGACCTCGTGCGCGTTTTTGTATCCCGGTGCCGCATGCCGGGGGGTGGCCCAGGGCCTGACCAGGCCGGGCTCACCCGTTTTTTAACAAAACGACATTTTATACGACTTATCGGCATTGAGTTGACAGGACCAATTTTTTATATCTAGTTACAGTAGAGCCCCCCCTGCCCAGGCCGAACTAGATGAATGAAGACTCTGGATGAAGTTACGTCGTGAGATGGCAAAACACAAGTACAACATGATACATGCTGGCCTGGGCTAGAGGGAACCCCAGGCCCAGGTGTGAGCCCCTAGTGGGACCCGACACCCTTCCACGGGCCCCCCTTCTTCAAAACGATATATAAAACTTGACCGGGGGTTTGGGCTCGGGAAAAATATGCTGGGGAAATATCTAGACCTAGAAGAATCAAATCATCGTGGAGCAAAATGCACCCCACGGTATTGCAGGGCTATATATGTGCCCTGCGGAGGGGCCGAAAAGGGCCCGTTTTTTAGTGGCGCAAGCAACATGAGCATCAGCATCATGAGCATCAGCATCATCGGCATCCTCACGACGGTACAGTCATGTCCTGTAAAACAAGGTGTATTAATTGGCAAGGCCAATATTCGCATGGGCGAAAACCTGAGACTTAGAACGTGCCTGGACGAGGGAGAGATTGGAGATGGGCTAATCAACTGGCTGGTGGATCGAGGGCACTTACGGTGCGGGCTATGGTGGCGGCATGCAAAGAGCTGCCCGAGATCCAGCCGGATTGGACGTGGCTACAGCTACCGAGATACCCGAGGCAGAGAACTTGGAAGCCACAGAGCGCGAGTTCTGGGTTTAGAAGAGCGGGGGGCTGGGGTCGCAATCAAGTGAATTTGTGAACCATGCTAGCCTCAAGCCTATAAGTCCGAATTAGACCCGAAGCCCCAAAACCGCCCTCGATGCAATGAACGACCAAGCGCCCTTGCAAAATTCTGGGGCTCTTCAAGGAGGGCAGGAGATGCTTGAAAGGTGTATAGAGGTTACAGATCTCTGAGAGGCTCATGCCTACCGCCCACGACAACCATTGCCTGCGAAGGTTTTAGCCAGAACCCGTGCCTATACCGTAGTCTCTATCGTATCCCCTAATTTCCCATCTCACAGAAGCGTTCAACCCCTCCAACTCCGAGATGCACTAGCCGGGACGGCGACGGCCGCGTCAACTGAGCATGCCCTGGCAAAGGTGCTGCAGCAGCCAGAGGTCCGCCATCATCTCGCGCCGCTGTGGTTCCCTTGCTTCCCTATCCTCAGCTCAAGAGAGTACTCCCCGAACCACTTGTCGGAGTGTATCCGTTTCCCTTTGCCCTTGCAACCTCTTCAGGCTTCCCGGGAATGTGTAGGGACCTGCGAGCCCCCCTGACGCCAAGACCAGGACCTCTTCAACGAAAGGGCCCCAACAGCGAAGACTTCTCCATACAGCTCTTCGGGACGACGGCTCATCTGCCGGCATGGCCTTGCCTGTAAAGCATGACTTCAGAACCCCCTCCAACCCCCCAAAACCCCCCCCCCCCCCCCCAACCCCCCCCCCCAAGCCCAAAACAAACCCCGCCCCCCCTTAAACTCTTCCCCCTCCACCTCCCCAAAACTCCCACTTCGAGGTCCTGGGCTAAAGGCGCCGAGGGCCCGCAAGTATAGGCCCGCTCCCGACTTTGTTTCAAGTCACTACTTCTTTCTGGGAAGAACTCGAGGACCCTTTAGGGGACCGTCAACACCACGAAGGGACCATTTTCTTGGTTTGGGCTGTTCCCCCTTATACTGACAATCCTTAATGGGAAATATTCTGCGGGGGTACTACAATCCCGATTAAGGGCTGTTAGTATAAGGGGGATCATCCCAAGCTTGGATAACTGAGATATCCAAGCGACCATCTGAAGCTCTTGCGCCACAGAGAAAGAGGCAACCATGGCGCAACAAGGTCTTGCACCCCCCTCCGTTCTGGTTTTAGATCCATCACATTCAAGATCCAGGCATTTCGACTCTCACGCATGGACGATCTAAACATTTTGAGGTTGAGGGCTTGGGCTTCAGGAAAGCAAGTGACTCAAAATCGGACCGCTACCTCCGGGGTCTATGAGCAGAAACGGCTGACTCATGAACCCTGCCGAGGACATCGCAAAAAGTATCTGAGGGGCCAGAGAAACCATAGCCAGAGAAACCATGGTATAAAGTGCTTTCAAACCTTCCGTGGGTTTTCCCTTCGCTCTTGCACGTCGTTGGTGCGTTCACGACCGGGCCCTGTGCCCGGTGTGAAATCACCTCAACAGTGGCGGATGATGGTTCCCTATACGATGGTCAAAGTATGCATACTCATATTGAGCAGCTCGTCACAGGGCCACGTTCAGCAACCTCCGCTACCCTTCCGCTGCCGCCACGTCGGCTCCTGCCTCACGCAGCAAGGCCGCCACTTCGTCGTCGCGGTTCAGCATGGCCACGCGCAGCGGGCCACCTTTCTCCACGTCGGCCTTGCAGTGGATCAACAGCCGCACCACCTTGGCATGGCCTTCAGCAGCTGCCAAAAACAGCGCAGTGCCGTGCTGTGTGGCTTTATCGATATCAAGTCCTGGGTGGTTCGTCGAGCGGAAAAAGAAGCCGGCTATCCTGGAAAAAAAGCATCCCAGCATTGGAAAGAAAATTGAGAAAACGTGCTGCTGAAACCACCAGTAGAGTCGAAAGCCTACCAGTTTACGCACAACTGCCATATTACCATTCCTCGCTGCCAGCTGCAGAGCTGTCCATCCGTCCCTTGTGGGCGTGTCAGCATCAACTCGTTCCCAAAGCAAAAGACAAACCACCTCAGGGTGGTTATGGACCGCTGCCACATGAAGAGGCAGAAACCCGTCTCTGGGACTAGCTCGTTGAGGGTCGACATCTGCTTCAATCAGGATGCGAAGAATCTTCTCTTGGCCATCTCTAGCTGCAATGTCTACCGGTGTTTCACCATCAGACGTGGCCATGTTGATGTCAACCCCAGCTTCAATCAACAGACGAAGGATTGCAAGCTGACCATGATGACAAGCCACATGTAGCGGTGCCCAACATCCCATGCTCATGTCTCGGGCATCCATGCGTGCGCCTGCTGATAGCAAGAGTTGCATGGCTTCAACATGCCCATGTTCAGCGGCATGGTGCGAGGCTGTTCTGCCAGTGTCGTCTGTCACGTTCGGATCTCGCGGGCACCGAAGCAATTCGTTTAATGCCACTAAGTCGTTGTCCCTGGCTGCAGAGGCCATCTTTCCATCCTCCTCTGCGTTGGGTGGCAAATACTCCAACTTCACCAGCTGGAGCGTCACCATTTCCCCCGACAAAACTTCATCATCTTCAATCACCCTGGCCCCATCCTGTGACAAGAACCTCTGTCGAAGTGCGGAGATGCCCAGCTCAGCAGCTGCTGCGTTTTTGACGTCTTTGGCATTTTTGCCTCGGAAATCCTCCAGCACGAAGAGTACCTCCCCTGACATCGGCGACACGATGGAGCACATCGTGCTTAGTGGGGAATGGCGTGGTGCTTAACTGCTTACATAATGTATAATGAACAGCCGTATCAAGGTTTACAGCTATTGACTGTGGTAAAGAAGGGCCGACACTGGTCAATGATGGTTGACAATAGTTGATACCAGTTGATAGAGGTAATAGCTTCTGTGTATCAGAACCGCCCTGCTTAAGCCATTGAGTTGGTGAGGATATTCGTGGGAAGCAGAACGCGAAGATTGTGAAAGGAGGACCCCAGTCACTCCATAGCACACTACCTAGACACCAGAATCTCATCTCAGGCCTTGCAAGCACCTCATATCATATGTTTGGCCACCACATTTGAAGCGATAGGTAGCTTCGGCGTGCCAGTCCAGAATAACATGAATGCTAAGCTGTCTGCGCATGCGTGCAGTAGTTGGGACGTCTTCATCAGTCGGGGTGTTCGGAAACAGGAGTTCCCTACATAGAGGTAGGCGCGCGAGCTACTTTACATGGTACTTGCATGGTTCTTACAATTTCCTGCCGTGTGCTCACTTGGTGCTTACATTGGGCTTACATCGTGCTTACATGGCTTACATAGTGCATACATGGTGCTCACATAGCGCTTTTAGTTCTGATCACATGGTGCGTACATTGGGCTTACATGGTGCTTATCTCTTGCTTACATGGTGCTTACACAGTATGCCCCTGCCGTACAGCTTACATATGCTTACATGCACTTACACATGATTCCCATATCGGTGACGTGCACCAAGCAAGACAACACCAGTGTGTGTGTTTTTTCTGTATGCAGCAATATGACGTCTAGGCAGCGGGTGCCATAGATAAGGCCTTACATTGCTGCCCCTTTACTAATCACCTGGGTCCTCCCTTGACCATGACGTGCCCGTTCACGTTCGAGTCCTTCCAACAGAGCTCCATAGGCAGAGACTCGGGCTGCGTACAATTCATAAAGCGTTCCGGCGCTAATTAACTGCATCAGTTTAGCGCCCAAGTGGTTATTGTGGCGCCGCACGTGACACGAGGATCCCAGAAAACAGTGAATACGTTTGAGTTGAAACAGTACAATTTACAGAGCGTTTCAGGAGCTGAGTAACTGCATTGGTATGGCCCGCACGGTGCCACAAATGAATGTCACAGTGCACGAGGATTCCAGAAAGAGGCATCACATCGAGCAAAGTAAAGGGCCATAGAAACTGCTGATGCCCAAAGAGCCTGCACATCACATCTTCGACTGCTCTGTGCAGTTCCCAAGCCCGTTCTTTCAAGCGCTTCGCACCGCCTCCCCCAACAACAGCATGACCAGGCAGGACGGCGTAAAGTTCTTGTCTCTGGTACCAATGTCATTATAGGGGCGTTTTGGGAGAGAGGTTCTCTCGGGAAATGCATCCCAGACCGACTTTAAGAGCTTCTGAACAGTGCTTGCCCACCAAAGCGTGCCGTTAGACTCCCTGTCAATAACGAAGGTCTAAGGTTTAGGGTTTAGGGACTGTTTAGGGCTTAGGGTTTAGGGTTTGGGGTTTATGGTTTAATCAAATTGTAAGGCGGGCGCCGGCGCTCCTGCGCAAGCAAGAATGAAAGAATGCAGGCCCTTGGAATGTTCAACCAGTTTGATGATATGCCGGTTGCAGTGGGGTTCGGCAAAACCTCGAAAGAGATCGGGAACAAAGGACAGGCCCACTAGCGTGGGGGGACTCACAATAAGCTCCCCTTAAACACCCCATGAAAGCCACCACATCCTCGACGATTTGAAGCCCCAACGCAAACAAGAGAGGTTTAGGATTTAAGTTGATTGCTAGACTCGGGCACCGTTGCAGCAAAACTAACATGCAGCAAGATGCCGGTTTCATGTTCTGCATTTTCTTCGTCCAGCAATGGAGCCGTGGCAGGTGCTGGCACACCAGTCGCTACTCAACTGATGTAATGGAGATTTTTGACAAGACAACTTTAAAAAGGACAGCCAAGAGAAAGGTGCAGCAAGGGCCCATCAGTCTGACATACGTGGCATTTGCCAGATAAGCAGTTGCGAAGCGTTGAAGATTCAGATAAAGCGCAATGGCAATATACCTCGTGGAAACAAATGAAAGTGTAACAGCTTGCTGCAGCAACCTATATCTATGGCATTCCAGAACCCCATTATGTTCTATCAGGTTCGCTCTGAGGTTGAGGTGAAACTGATCATTGAAGCCAGAAATTGCTGTCCTCCTTCCTCCATGCTTTTTCTCTATCAGCCATGTCCATTGAACTTCATTCGCAGCTTTGGAGGCACATAGGGTGTGCAGCACCTATCTGACATGACTCAACACTCAAAGCTGCCACCCGTGTGCCAACAATGACAGTACTGGGTGCAAACAAACATGCGCAGACAGGTTTCGTCAGTCTTGCCTTCACTTAGAAGACTAGCTCACCAGGCACCTCTGGTTGCTCCTCAGGGAAGAAAGCACTCATGCAGAGGTTCTGTCTGGTCTCATTCTGCACATGCACCCTGAATCCCACTGAGCCGAGACCCAGGATGTACGACAGGCGCTCTAGTGCAAGCGCCTTCACTGTTCACTGCGTCCGTGTCACGATCATCTCTATCACTGATCCAACTCTTGAAGTTCGTGAGAACTTGTGCTGCTCTCTTTTGGCCAGCTTGTGCATTTGCAACAAGGATGCCGCTTGAACTTGTTACAATCATTTACCCTTCAAATCAAAGCCCATTACTTGCCATTACATCCAACCGTCAGCATCAGCGCCTGCTTGTAGTGCTCGCACACGGTAACCGAGGGGAGCGTCGACTTCTTCTGCAGCATGTCCCTGGGCAGACGAGGCTCTCACCGCACTCATCGCAGTGCTACGTCATTGACCCTCCGTCGTCAAATGTGATGCAGCCTAGGAGCAACTTCCATTGCTTTGCAATGTCGTCGGGTACATAAAAAACCGCCTCACCATTCTCATCAAACTCCTTGCGCTGCGCAGCCAGCTCGCGCGCGATCTCTTTCATATCGCTGTAGGAACCAGTCCTCCATAGCGTCACCTGCCTGCGCTTGAGCAGGATGATTCTCCTTCTACCCTCGGGGTAGCACGTGGGAACTGTCAGGCACAATGTCTCTTCCGGGTCTCGCTCTTTTGACGTTTTGGCCTTCATCTTCTCCCGCGTTTTTTCAAGCAGGTCTTGCTCTTCGCCATCTGCGTCGTTGTTCATCAACTCATTACCATGTATTGGGGTGTCAGAATTCTTGTACTCTGTCACAACCATGATTTTGTCACGCACCTCGTCTCGAATGTCTTCCGGCAAGTCCGCAAGAGTCTCAGCAGTCAGAACGTAGTACTCCTTAACTTTGCATCTCCCATGAACAAACAAGCCATTGACCTGAAGAAGCATGCCACTGTGAATGGCACGGCCAAGCACGGCCCAACCAGAGTCCCACTCAAAGATCTCACAAGCCAGCATGACGGTGTTGTCGTGGCCACTATGCTTGGGCTGAAAAGGATCCTTGATCACCACGAAATTGAAATCCTGGTGCGGAGTGCGGAGCAGGGAGGAGCCGAGGCATAGACTCATAGACGGTGTTTGCAAGAATGAAACCCACTAAGCCACTAAGGACCAGGATTAACACATACAACTGGCCGACTCCGCTTCATACTTCCAACATGCCGGATGGTGTGGCGAATTTCCCTTGCATGCCCCTGAGATGCAGAGGCCCCGGTCCTTTGATAGCTGCTGTCTGTTCTCATCAGTAAGTGGCCGAAATCCCAGGGTTATGCTTGATAAGATCTTGGCTACATCACGGAAGTCTTGAAGCTGTCCTAGCAGCCCCACGGCGTCTCCATCGTCCTTTCTGCTAAACGTTCCCTCCTTCAGTTCCTCGATCTTGTTCAAGCAAAACGACAACCTATGCTTGTGCCCGTGGAAACACACTTCCGTCGTGCCTTCCAAGTCTTTGCAGTAGTGAAGGAAGCTGTCCCTGCACAAGGCCAAGCCCCCAGCAAGAAGGAAGGCTGCGTCATGGCGACTACCTGTCTTATTCTCCTTCATGTCTGCATATACTGACAAGCCAGCTTCAATCTTCCTGAAGAGCACGGCGAACTGCCACTTTCCGTCACTTCCAACACGAAACTCTTCGTCACGGTCTGTCGGGCGCACCATGTCCCCGGAAATGCCCGTCATGTCATTATCCGGCAAGAACCCGGTAATGTTTCTAAATCGCATGCTGTCGGACGTGTGGCCACGCGTCATGATGGTGCCTCCCTGTCCTTTATTCCGTGGGACACCTTGGCTGATCTTGGCGCCCGGGTATCCTTCGGGATCACACAGGAATGGCTACCAGTCTGAAAGCTGCCTGCAAACTGGTAGAGCCATTCCAAGACCTTGTCCTCCGCCGGCTTGAGGTTTGGCGCAGCTTTCAGCGGCCTTGCCAAAACCGCTTGCACGCACAGTTGTGCTAGTCGCAAGATGGGCGGCATCAAGAAGACTCATCGATGCAGGTCCCATATGAAAGAACGAGTCAACAAGATATTATGCCGGCGTCGACCCCAAACAGTGTCTGGCATTTCGTGCGAGAGGGTCATCGATCGCCACGAATCTTCCCTCACGTGTTTCGCACGAGGGGGTTGTCGATCGCCACGTGGAAAACGTCCTAAACAACATGATTCGGCGCACATGGACATGTATTTCGTGCGAGGGGTTGTCAATGTCGATGCCCTGCATGCAGGCGACCGTTCTGGGATGATCCATCAGTTTCCTGCACACTCAATGCACGAACCCCGTTGCACAAGTACCGCTTGGGGAAAAGTTCACCTTGCTACTCGGGCAATTCATGGCCAGCCGAATGTCAATGAACCATACTGAACCATGCCACTTTGTCGCGACTCCCTAAACAAACGTGGGGGGGGTATGTTCCCCCAACATATCGAGCCACGCAATGCCCCATGCTGTAGACAGGCCCAAGCCATCCTGAATCGTGAAACCTCTGTACAACCTGAAGACATGTTCTGCATTCCAAGACTTGATGCATCATGTGGCAACAGTAGACCTGCCTACTGACTAGTATCTCAGCAGAGAACCCTGTGTCACGTCATATTGCCAGGAACCCATTTCCATTTGATGCCATTCCACAGCCTTCCTCGGCCTTCCTCGGCCTTCCCCTTTAACATTCGCCTCGGCTTCCTGCCGAGAAGCGTTTGAACAAGCAGACATGGGATCCAAACCCAACCACGCACCCCTCCCCCCGCCCTGTATGGCTTTTTGGACCCGCCCTCAAAAAAGTCTGGGACCCCCCCTGAGGCCCCCCTGACACTCCCCTCGAGACCCCCCCTGACACCCCCCTCACCACCCCTCTCAAAACCCCAAAACCTCCTGGGAGCCTGGCACCCTTCCTGGACCTCCCCTTTTTTGGAGGCCTTTCTCAGAAACCCTCTTTCCTCCTTTCCTGTCCGTGGGCCGGCCCGGCTGCCGAGGCGGCGCGCGCAAGCGTTTACAATTAGAACCCTCTGCAGATGATACTGGTTTCAGTTTTAACTTCGCGTGTGCGACGCCTAAGCACTCGGGTGCAGTATCGTGGCCTGGGAATCGACGTTGTTAGAGAAGTGCATGCGGGCCGTCTTCTGCAAGCTAATCTCACCCTGACAGGGGATAGGGCTGACAGGCACTGGAATCCGTTCAAAATCTGCACATAATCTCATAGCCATCGGGTGCTGAACATGCGAATCAGTGATATCAGTGGAAAAGCTTTTGGGCATTCTGCCGATGTGTGAGGGATTCATAACAAAGACCAGCATGTTATCAAATCCAAAGGTTTGTCCCGGACCAAAAAAGGTTTCTTCTCGAGAAAAACTCTGCATATTCACCGGGCGCCCAACGGACTGTCGACAAGTCGACAAGCGTCTGGAATCAGACAGACCAGATCGGTTTCCTTCCCACTGGCCCAAAGAATCCTTGACTTCCCCAGCTTTTCAGGCTCCGGGGTGTTCATAGACTTCCGTGCAATTTAAAATGGAAACTCCTGTTAGCGATGCCCATCTGATGTTGCTTGATCCGATTGTTTGTTGCCGATCCACATCTACTTGCTTGTATCACTATGCCCCTACAAAATTGCAAACCCTGTAAGACTAGCACGACCGGCCACTAATTGTATTTGTATAGCGATTACGATGACTCACTGTTCGGCATTCGAGGACGGAGCTTGGCCACCACAGTCATGACAGTTCGCCTCGGCCGGGAGGCGTCTGGAATTCCCCCCTTCTTCAAACGCAACACTTTCTTCTTGTGCCTTGTGGGACGTGCGTGAAAATTTGCAGTCCCGAAGCTGCCGATTCGAGACACCACGCTGCGATGTAGCATTCGGCAAGATGACACCACCCCAACTCCTCGGCATGTGTCTCATCTCGATAACGTCGTGTACCGAAAACCGGTCCTCGTCTTTTGCAGAAAACGATGGTGTCTGCGGCTGGAATTGAAAAATCGGGTACATGGCAACACATTCGCGAACTCGCGTTCGCATGCTCTGATTGCTGTGGGCGTGGTTTTGGGGTTCCCGGCGACCTTACAAACAAAAATATATAGGAAGAAAACAAAGAAGAGAGAGGAAGAGAGAGAGAGAGAGAGAGACAGAGAGAGACAGAGAGAGACAGAGAGAGACAGAGAGAGACAGAGAGAGACAGAGAGAGACAGAGAGAGACAGAGAGAGACAGGGAGAGACAGGGAGAGACAGAGAGAGACAGAGAGAGACAGAGAGAGACAGAGAGAGACAGAGAGAGACAGAGAGAGACAGAGAGAGACAGAGAGAGACAGAGATAGACAGAGAGAGACAGAGAGAGACAGAGAGAAACAGAGAGAGAGAGAGACAGAGAGAGAGAGAGACAGAGAGAAAAAGAGAGAAAGAGAGAAAGAGAGAAAAAGAGAGAAAGAGAGAAAAAAGGAGAGAGAGAGAGAGACAAAGAACCATGGAATCAAGACAGGATGACTGCTACTACTGTTGCATGCTTGCCTTTGTCAAGAAATCATGCCATGAAGAGGACTTGCAACAAAGAACTTGAGAAGGGGCTACGAAAGCTAGTCACCGCAGGGGGGTGGAGTGAAGCGGTTTCGGGTTATGTTGATGTGATATCTTGGTAAGACCCAAAGCACACGGCTCCCCCAAGTTTGATGGCGTGCACATGCAGAATGGGTATCGCTGCTCCAAGCTGCAGCTTCAGTCTCGAATGCATGTTTGAGCAGCTGTTAACAAGCACGATTGAGTCCATGTAGAGACTCAACCGGTTAGTCAGGTAAGATCGAAGACCCCTAAACTCGAAATCTGAAGCCCTAAACTCCTTCAGCCCCCTTGCTTCCCCCGCTGGAACCCCGTGTCGCAAACGAAGTTTAGGTACAGGGACGCTCTGTTCAGTACGACCTCTGCAAAGTACCACAGACCTTCAGAGCATGGTGACTGTGGGGGGCGGGGGAGGACCTTGGGGTGGGGTGGGGGGGGACCTTGTGGGGGGGGGCGGGGAGGGGACCTGAAGGTGGTAGGGGGGGGGCCCCCCCCCCTACCTTATCCCACACGCAACCACCTTAAAGGAGGGGGGGGGGGGGGGGCGCCGGCACCTTATCCTTTCGAAATGCTCATGGTGAGGGGGGGGGGGGGGGCCCCCCCCCCCCACCCCCACCTTAAGTCTTGGGTTTCGGACCTGTTAAGGTGTGGAACCCTTTTTTTCCCTGGAAGCTTCTTAACAAGGTGAATACCAGTGCATGGGTAAACGACAACTCCCGCCAGCTCCACAGAGCTAGCTTTCGTGACATACGCATCCTTGCCAGGCCGGTCATGCGATCATTCTCCTCAACGCTTCCCAATCCATTCAAACGCGAGCGGATGTTTGAAGTATGGAGGAGGTAGAGTTGCACGGCGCGCCGAGAACGACTTGCCAACGGACGATCAGAGTTGTCAAGCAAAAGCCCCCTGATAGCCATGGATGTGCGGGCAGACACTCAGGGAGGCACAGGAATAAAGCAACGCATGCGCTCAAACCTTGACACGGAAACCACATACTTGGAATTCAGCATCAAGAGAATAACAAGCCCGACCTTGATCAGAGATTGGTTGCCGGCAGCAGTGCAGGCACAAGCCGAAGCCTCAAAATCAGGAGCGGCGTTCGCTTGAACTCAGAACCGCAAAACTGGGTGGCTCGGCTGCAAGATGCTGCATGCCCGACACCAACAAGATCCAGTAGCAAGCTTGGCGGGCATGGCAGGCACTCTGTTTTCCAACAGCGGCCTTGTAGCAGTTGGGTTCCCTACCCTTTGACCCGCGGGAAAGTAGCTCGCCTCTGGGGCTCGACCTCCCACGGCTCTACTACTTACTTTTCGTACACGATGGTACTCTAAATGAATTACCGCTAAGCCCCAGCTGCTGCTTGGCTCACATTAGCCAAGGCTGGCAACATGCATGCTGATGCACCGTGTGCATGAGCAAGTACCCAAGAAACCTGTCGTCTCTTGGTCTGAACATAGCAACTTGTACAAAGACAATGCCGCGGGAACTCCGGAGCTGAGGGTCCATCATTACAAAGATCCACGGAACTTCTTCTTTGAACACGATGACATCGGGACTGCAACTCTCCAGGATGTTTTAGTGCAGGCACACTGCTGCCACCAACCTCTGCACAGGCATTCCTCAAAAGCCCTTGTTGCTAACTTAGGCTTCTGGCTCATGAGCTCACTGTTCTGATCTTTCCTTTGAGCGTGTTTTGCCTCTGAAGCAATGCTTTAGATTTAATGGGGTTTTCATGACTTTGGGAGATTGGGAAAGACACCAAAACGACACTATATTTCATAGAAATGTTTCTGCCTTGACATCATCATCAGGTGAGCATTTCTGTGGTGGCGGCCCCTCGTTGAAGGTAGCTGGTTCACTACTGCAATAGCTAGACCGATGCAATGAGTGTAGCACTGTTGCTGTTAAGTGACCATGGCTACGTTTTAGGTGTTCATGAACGTGGAACTTCCCTTGTCCAGTTGTTGTCGCCACCATCGGCTCCAAAGCTTTCAAAACTTTGCCTCAGCCTTCTGGAGCTCCCATCAGCCCACGCCACTTGGTCGATCCCTCACATAGTAACAATGAGCAGGAACGCATCCACAACAAAAGCAGCCCAGAGATGTGGCTTACGGAGATCGTTTTGCCAACTCACTTTCCGCGGTATTGTTGTCGTATGCTTAGATTGGGACACGGAATTGCACCAGTTGTTGTGATGTCATCTGTGGCTTGAGCTGCAGTTTGCGCTCCGATCTTGTGTTCTTTGCTGAGGCTTTCTTGCGGGCCGTGTTTTGCAATTTGTGTTTTGAATCTTGTGCTCTGTGTTGTGCCTGGCTGTCTGGCACTGCGCAATTACAGGCTTGCAAGAGAAAGCCTTTTTGAATGTTTTTGGATTCTGCTTTGTGCCGGCCATGTTTTGCGTTGTGGTCGTGATCCCCAATTTGTGATCCGATTTTGTGCTCGTATCTTGTGATTGTGCGCGCGGAGATTTCTTTCGCCAGCGGCAACAAAAAGCACCACGAAACCACGCGTACATTTTGTGGCAACAAATGGAATGAAGCCATTGTGCACAATTTGGCTAGGGTGCTTTGCAAGTCAACCGTTCTTGACAACCGTTCTTGAGTTGTTACTCGGCGGGGGATCGACGTGGACACACGCACGTCACCACAGCTGTACAGGGCAGGGCTGCGTGGCAGGCATGTTAGACAAAACAGGGCGCAGCGCAGCAATCAACGCTTGCAGATCCGTTTCTAGCCCAGTCAAGCGAGCACGCAGCTCTTCTATCGAAACATTTGCAACAGGATCACTAAGACGTGGTACGTGTGTGACTGCCCTCCAGACACACGACTCAGTAGAGGTTGTAATCTCATTCGCCGGCAGTCCCAAAGCGCCCACCATGTGCCGGCGTGCCCGCTCTCCCAGGTTCTGCCGCCACTGATGCGGTACTTCGATGGGCTCAACGTCCACAAACTCCCACTCCGTAGATGTGATCGTATGTCCACCTAGCTCTCCTTTTCTCTCCACCTTGCGCCAAATCTGGAGAGCACCGGTTTGATACTTCTTCTGCGAAGCTTCGACTTGCTCTCTGCGACTCATCTCATGCTCCACATGCGCTAGGATGTCACTCCAAAAACGTTGGCAATGGGCACTGGTCACTCCGAGCTTGAAGTTGTCCTTGTGTCTGTCAAGATTCTCATTGAAAAACTCGCCGCAGTTCACGGTCCTGTGGTACATGTACTGCGACTCATAGGAGACGCGGTGGTACTCAACGATAATTGTAGACCTAGCCTCTTGTGTCCCAGTAGGCCTCACCGCGGGAGACTCGGGCATGCTTTCTCCAGAAGAGGAAGCTTCCAACGATCTGGACTCTTGTGGCGAACTAGGCAGGCGCTTGTACACCGATGGGGTGAAGTGCTGATGCTGCAGCTGTGCTTGTGCACACTGCTGCATGAAAGCCCCTTGAAAGCTCTTCTGGATTGGCAGAACCGGGGTTGGCACGGCCCCCGGCAGCTGAGCCCCTGCGGTGCTCCCTGGGCTTGACGGACTCACTGGTTGCGGCTGCAAGCCTGGCCTGACGAATACTCTAGGCGGGCCCATTGCTGCCTGAGCTAAGCTTCCTCGAACCACAAACTGCGCAAGCGGCATGAAGCAGATGACCTCGCACACTTCGCACAGTCGCCTTTCTGAGCCCCACGTGGAGATCTCAGTTGACAGCTTCAGGCTTTCGAGCTGCTGAAGCGCGAACGCTGACAAGACCAAAACTCACGGCAGATTGGGTACAAACTTTACCTCAAAAGCCAAACAGGCTCAAGCAGCGTCTGCATGTGGAGCTATCAAGGCGCCCTGCCAACACATGCTACCACCACCACATTCCAAGCGCTTGTAAAACGTGATCTTCGGTTACTAAAAAGAGTTCGTAGAGTGGAGAAGCAGCGCGTAATGTACCAGTACGGCGGTGCAGCAGTACAACATCATGAGATGGGCATGGGGCCCCGGAGGGTTCCGGGTTTGTAAGCATTAGGCAACGTGTGCGCACGAGCATTCTGCCAGAGGTGATCTGAAGTCATGTCTTTGATGGAATGTGAACACACTTGTGAGCCAACAAGGCATCGTACGGGTTTATACCATACTAGAATACTAGAAAAACAAAACCTAAGCCAGGGATCAGGCTTTTTCTGCGGCTGCAAAAGGGAACTCAAAATGCAGATTGGCATCATCACTGCATTCTTTGTGGCAATTCTGGTGCTAACACGCAATCAAGCAAATCTTGCGGAACGTTCCAGCAGGGGAATCTTGGAACACAAAAGCACAAAAGCTGCACGTGCGCATGTCTGATCATAGCACCGGGTCATCCAAACCCGAACAGACGTGAAGGGCAAAACTCATCAGAAAAGGTCCACAGCTACCATGACAACTCCGGGATCTTCTCTCTCTTGCCTGAGCCCTCGCTCCCGAAAAGATGCGCTTCATGGCTGTACCTGCCTCCTTCCACGGCGCGGGGTCAACACCATGGCAATCCATGGGAGGCACAAAAATAAAGCCAGATCGATAGGTCACGCTCACTTACAGATGATTGCGGCTACTTCAGTGGACCTGTCTGTGAAGGCACGCTTTGCAAGACAACCCTGATCAAGCCAGCAACATTGCGGAGGATAACAAGCTCACCCTGATGAGTGGTCGATCGCGGACGGGTACTGCACAGCCTATGCAAAAGCCGTAGCATGAAAAATCAAGACTAGCAGCCGTTCCGTCATGGGACGACGGACGAGCAGAAGAGGAGACTGCCAGTTAGCTTGGAAGTCAAAATCATAAGATTAGGTTGCAAGATGCTGCAGGTTCGAACGCAGGATTTTCCCACGGCGACTTCGCAGCATTTCACTTGATGGGACCTGCTTCGGGACTCTGTGTCATCGGGGGACTGTACTGCCATCAGCCAACCGCTGCCCTTTTAAGTTTGCTTAAGGGCGGTACGTGCGCAGCAGAACGAAATAACCGCTGTTGGTCTCGACTAAAAATAGCCAACAGTCTGCTGGCTGCTGCTCAGCAAGACCTTGTGCAATGGTCGTGAGTACGAAGGCGCCCTCGGACGCTGAAGTGTTCTGGCAGCTGCAAGTCGTTGCAAGTCATTCACTGCCAATCGACCCAACAGCCTTGACCGGACCGGCCACGGCTTTTGAAGCTTTTAAATTAAACTTGTCTTGAACACAGACAACTCCAAGCTCCAGCTCCGAGCCATTCGAAGCCCGTGAAGAAGCCACATGCCTCAAAAGCACATTTTTCTGGCCGTTGTCGTTTGAGACGGACACCGCGGCTGCGCGAAGCAAAGCCAGCCTGTGTTGTTGGCCTGAACCGCTTGCCCCTGATGCATCAAGGCAGGTTATCAACGCTTGACAGAGATGTTGGCAGAGTGTCCCTTCTGGATCTTCAACACCATCCTGAAGGGCCTCTAGCACCATTTCCTGCTTGGCCAGGAGAGCCTGAGCTGCTGCAGGCCCCAGCTGCTCCAAGGCAATCACTACTTGATGCCGCGTCATCCAATCTGGATCTGCAAGTGAATCCACCACCTTGCACACAGCCTCCTGAAAAGCTGGATGTGTCACCAAGCCTAGCTTCCGCATGGCTAGAGCTTTCTCCCTTGACATTTCGGCGGGCAACTCCAACAATGTCTGAACACAATCCGGGCAAGCCTTAAGAACACTGACACCGAAATGCCCCAAGGACTCTGTTGCAGAGATTCTCACCTCGAGTTCGGGATCTTTGAGCAGCTGAGCCAGCCTGCGCACGCCCCATGGACATGCCTCACTTGCTGAAGGGCCCAGCTCACCAAAGACCTGCGCTGCCCTGTCTCGCACCTCCGAATCTGAATCTTCCAACATCTGCACCAACAACTCTGCCAGCCTGGGAACGGCCTGTACGGCTTTGGGGCCCAATTTCCCCAAAGATGTTGCAGCTGTGATCCGCACCTGCTTGTCCGGGGCTTCGAGCAAGGTCTCCAATTTGCACAGAGCCTGCGCACAATCTACTGCTGTCGGGCCCAGCTCACCGATGAGGTCTGCCGCTTGCCATTCATCATCGCCCAATAAGTTCAGGAGTTTTTCAAGCGAAGGCCTTATTGCGGGACCCAGGCGTCGAACTGCCCCTTCTGCTCTTGACCGCACTTCCTCCTTTTCATCTTCGAGCAACCTAACAAGACCGAGTACTGCCTTCGGACACCCTTTCAAATGTTCGAGACTCAGTTCCCCGACCGCCTCTGCTGCTGCGCCTCGCACACTGGCATCTGGATCTTCTAGCAATTCGACTAGGTGGAACATGAAATCTGGGCGAACTTCAACCATTGCAGGGCCCAGCTGCAACAGTGCCTCTGCGGCATAGCAGCGCCCTGGCTGGTCTGGATCTGCCAGTGATTCGATCAGCTTAGAGATTGCTTCCGGACAATCAGTGGCAATTGTGGGGCCCAGTTGCTTAAGGGCCTGTGCTGCAGTGAGTCGCACATACAGGTCTGGATCCGCCAGCATCAAATCTACCAACTTGGACACAGCCTCCGGACACGCTTCGGCTGCCGAGGGGCCCTGCATGCCCATGGCCTCGGCTGAAAAACATCGCATTGATGCCGCTGGATCCTGGAACAGTTCCATCAGCCGTTTGGGCACACTTGCTGGGCCCAACTGCAATAAAACATCTGCTGCAATAGATTGTTTGTGCAAGTCGGAATCTGTGCGCCAATCCACCAGTTTGGATACCAAATTTTTGCAAGCGCCCAACTGCCCCATGGCCACCGCTGCAGATTTTTGAAGCTCATCGTCGCTATCTGACAGTAATTCCACCAACTTTTTCACAAACCCCTTGCAAGCTCTAGCTGAAGCAGGGCCCAATAATGCCATGGCTTGTGCTACACGGCGTCGGGAAGACTGCTCAAGATCGCTTGCTAGCAGCGCCAGTAGTTTTCTAGCCACCTCCGGACATGCCATCATGGGACCCAGCTCGCTCAACAGCTGACCTGCCACACTTTCGTCCGGATGTCGTATGAAAATGTCCACAAGCGCGGACACGGTCTCCAACACGTCCTTAGGTCGCACCTCAACGACTGTTGGGCCCATCTCTATCAAAGCTTGTGCACCGTACTCGACCGATGCAAAATCAGCAGCATGTCCTGACGCCATGGCCTGCGCAAAAAACAGTGTTGCAACCAAGATGTTCATGTGTTGAAGTATGTTGAAATGTATGACAAACACTTTGTTCAGGGATTGCCGTACTCAAACGTGCAAATTTGCAATCTGCCACAACACGTCGGCAAAACACTAAGCCAAGCAATAGCGACGATAAGACCCAACACTCGCATTCTCTTCTCGGGCGTTTTTTCACTACGGCTACTACGACTACTACGACTACTGAAAACTACGACCACTACGACGACGACTACGACTACGACTAGTTGACTACTACGACTACGACTAGTCGACTACGACTAGTCGACTACGACTAGTCGACTACGACTACGACTAGTCGACTACTCGACTAGTCGACTACTCGACTAGTCGACTACTCGACTAATCGACTATTCGACTAGTCGACTAGTCGACTAGTCGAGTAGTACTCGACTAGTCGACTACTCGACTACTCGACGAGTCGACTACTCGACTAGTCGACTAGTCGACTACTCGACTACTCGACTACTCGACTACTCGACTACTCGACTACTCGACTACGACTACGACTGCGACTCGACGACGACGAGGACTACGACTGCGACTACGACTACGACTACGTTAGGGTGAGTCGACGACAACGACGACGACGACGAGTCGACTAGCGGACGCCTCTTTACTGCATCAGTAGCACAGTAAGCCGTTCTTGTGGGTCTTGCAACTAGGTGTGAAACAGATCGCCGTGAGAAGCAAGAAGAACAAGAAAGACGAACAACACCACCAACCAAACCAACCGCAAACAACCCAGCAACAACCGAAAGAAACCAAAAGCGACCAAACTGCTGGGTTCCCCAAGACAATGGCAGCAACCCTTCATTCCCGTGGATAAGCGTGACGCCCGAAAGAAGCAAACGCCCGCCATCAATGCTTTTGTGAAAGTTAATAGCAGCGCCAATTTTGCGCGTTTCAGCCAAACGCACCTTCTGTGCATTTCCTGGATGCCCATACGGCAGGCCCTCTTGGCTTCTGTGGCCAACCAGGCTTTGGAGCACTTCTGGTCGATTTACAACCTGGTTACGTCACGTGTTGTTGTTTCCTTCCGTGGGGTTCTTCCGTTAGAAGGGCTTCTCAGCGCCATATGTCACAAAGCCCTCTGCAGCAGCACATGAAGAGACTCTGTTGGTTGCACACAGCAGCTCTTAACAAAGTCTCCTCTTGCCCGCTCAGGCTGAAAAGGTAAAACTGCAAGAACTTGGCGTTCTTGCAAGAAGTGGTCCATGTTGCACCTGCTCACGGCAGCGGGCCTCTCGGCTACAGCGCCAATTTCACAGACAAGTAAGACCTCACTATTATCTAATCATCCTCTTTCTAGCAAGAAGATCGACGATGCTTGCTGCCCTCTCTGTGCCTCAGGTCTTTATCCAGAAGTGTGAAAACACAGCAGCAGCGCGCTGAACCCTCTTTTTCTCACGACTTGAGCCAAAGTCATAAGCCGGAGGCTTCGTCAGTGAAACTCTTTACACACAGGTGAAAACTCTGCTCTGCCACGTGTTCTCCACAGCCACAACACAAACTCAAACGTCAGTGGGAGTTCTCGGGACCTACCCAACTACACCTAAAGCAAGCAAAAACGTGCACAGTCACTTCTACAGCTTCCAGACACACATCCCTACAACTCAAGCACTTCAAAAGGCTTTCCCACTTAAAAGCAGCACTCCCGTCGAGCCTCCAAGGCACAACTACGGAGTTCCTACAACTACACACACACAACTCTGAGCCAGCATGCAGGACAACAAAGTTAACATGTCCTTAGACAGGAACTTTCGTCTGCACGCTGCGTCGCGTAGCCACCCGAAGGGGCCGTTGGTCAAAGTGAAACTAAACTAAAAATTACCTCGCTTGAGGTGTTGCGTTCTCAGCTAGGCCCTCTCTCAGCTGCAACCCTCAGCACTCGCGAGGCCGACTTTGCCCTCCGCATGCATTGCTGTTGAGGCACTTGTTGTGGCATCAGCCTCCCTAAGTTTGGCAATCCCCACTCAGCACTGGATGTTCTGTTCGAGGCATATTCCTCAGCGCATGCGAGGCCGCAAAGTGAAACACGTGAGGTATGAAAGACTGCTACTCCAGGTTCGTCCGCAGCTCCGGCTTTCTCGCACTTACTAACCGTGCCTTGCAGCCTCCCCCAAAGTAGCGTCACCCTGGCTTTCTCGCTCTTACTCACCAGTTGACCAATAATGCATCTCACGCGGTTGCTTCATGGTAAAACTGCAGCTCGAGGTCCCGGCGTTCTCGCTCTTACTAACCCGGACCGACACTGCAGAGAAGCATGGACTGTTGTTCCCTCAGCGGAGGCGAGGCCGAACAACCATTCCGCTGCATCTGCGCAGCCAGGCCCTCAGCTCCTCACTGAGCCAGGGCTATCTCTAGACAGAGTTCCCTTGCTGGCAAGCCCTCTATCTCTATGTGACCCCCGCGGTGCCACGTATAAGCAGCTGCTCCGCGTGTCTTAGGACCACAGTTTTCATTCGGATTTGTTGTTGTAGGCCTTCCAGTGCTTGAGGCCGAATCCAAACACCACATCTCACGTCACACGGCTAGGCAATTTGGCTCCAACATCTGAAGATAGTGACACATACTCTGCGTGGCGTCCGCGTGAGCTAGCCTGTCCTAGAGTTTAGGAGTTCGGCTCCTTTCATCGCTTGTCTTACCACAGGTCTCTTTCGGTGGCCCGTACTCAGCAGCCAGCACATGTACCATCCTCAGACGCCAGAGCCGCCTTGCCCCAGCAAGTGCCCATACAAACCACTCACCAGATAGTGAGAGCCAACATCTTCAAACAACCTCCAGCGGCCGTGCCGCGAGGACCTAAACATCTGCAAGGTTCCGCCTTGTCTGTGTGCACGGACAGACCCCAGCCCTTGCAGGAGACGTGGATGTAAACAAAAGCAGGCCTGCCATGTCCAGCAGGCTGATTACCATTGGTTGCCTTCAGATGGGAAAAGCGCGAAGATCGGGTAACCTCCATCTGAATCCTTTCCGGCCAATACCAACCCTTACAAACCCTCAGCACGGAGCGAGGCCGAAGGAGGCATTCTTGGACTATTGGTTTTCCGGGGAGCAGCCACCACAGCTGCTCTTCAACTTGCACTGCGCCGCACCACAGTCCTACTGCAAGTTCTTTGGCAACGGTTTCTCAGTAGCACCAGTCAATGAGCTTTACGACACTGATGCCTTTGGTTATTTGTGTCCAGGCAGATCCACCAGGGTTGGGCCAAATCTGTTCTACCTGATTCTACCTGCGAAGAATATCCAGTTGTGCTCAGCTTGCAGATCCCCGAAAACCAGCAAACTCGGGCTCAAGCACACCGCTATTGTTCGGGACACTCCTGTCAACAACTGCAAGGATGCCGCTTGCAGTGCGACGTTGGCCTGCACTGTCTGCAACGTGCCTTGGCCGTTTTCCCCCGTGTTTCGGTCTCACCTTCGTTCTCCACACAAACGAGCGAGGAACCCAAACTCACCCTAACACACAGCCCTCAATCCAAATGAGGGTCGGCGGGTTTTGTTCACCCAGAGACAGCAGGAATCTCTGGTGAGCAACAGGCTCTAGCGTCACCCCTCAAGCAAATCGAGGCTGCAACTCTCACTGTGACCCAGAGCAGACTGTAGGCCACAAGGTTCCCTCAGCAACGCGAGGACGAAAAGCTTCCCTCTAGCGAAGCGAGGCCGAAAACTGTGCACTCGAACGTCCTTCGTCGTCGGCAGCAGTTGGCGGGCCGCCGCTCTATGACAGCTTAGCCGGTCAGCCGGCCTACGAGCAAACACAGTTTAGCCAGGGCCTCAAAACGGAACCTACCCTTAGTTACAAGCCCCAGGGCCAGCCACAACGGCACTAAAGACGCTCTCTACCTGAGCACCCCACCGGGGTTGAGCCGAAACCTTGAGCCAGACAGGAACTATCACACCCCCGCTTGGACTGTAATGCCTCAGAGCCACGCACTTCTTCACAGCTCGGTGTTTCCAGTGCTTAAACATCTCATCCCAGGCAAAGTCCGAAAGCGAGCACTCCTACTGCCGACCTAAGAAGGTGTTCCTACAAGACCTAACGTGACTTTCGCAGCACGCAAAAGAGCTCTACCCAGTTTAGTCGGATAGATACCTGTTTCTTCGACACTAGCAAGTGAAACATGCTGATGACTTTTGTCACAGGGCTTTCCAGAGAAGATTTCACTCCACTCCTCTCGGGTTGTAGCAAAGAACCACCGCTTAAAGACCCCGTCGAAGGCACAACCGTCCACAACCCTTCCAAAATTCAGACCAAGGCGCTTCTTTTCTTTCAGATAACTTTCCTCCTTCCAAAGACCACAGTTCTTTGGCCATTCCTGGGTAACCAGGATCTCTTTGCAGCGGTCCTCCAGAAGTCTTCCTAAAGCTTTCCAAGATGCAACATGCTTCTTGACCTGCTCTCGCCACCGATGTCGAAACTTCGGTCGATGCCAGTTCTTAAAGCGGTAGCTACATCCAGCGGTACACGGGGAAGCTATGTGGACATAGATCTGGGGCGGTTTCCTACTCAACAGACACAGCAAGACCTCTCCTAGAAACATTTGAGTACTCTTGCTTAAGAAGTCTTCTTTCTCAGTTATGCCTATATATGCTACTCGGTCACGAGCACACGCTCGGCACAACGCACTGTCCGTTGAACAAAACACCTCGATCACAAGCAGAGGAACAGATCCCAACGCAAGGTCTCTTGCCACTGGCTCGTACTTCGCCAGGTTTGTCGGGATTTTCTCAAGCTTTTCACATACTTCTTCAAGTTCTTCCATTCGTTCACGAAGGTGTTCAGGAACTACAAGACCCTGAAGGTCTTCTTCACACACTCTTTCCAGTCCACACGCAACCAGCAAATGCTCAAGCAACAACTCCTCAGGAGATTTCGTCAGTCCATCGGCTGGATTCCGTTCTCCACTGATGAAGCTTAGAATCAGCCTTTCCAGGTGGACTAGCTCTTG